GTTTCGACACAAAAAATAATTAAAGTTAAAAGAATCTCGATTTTTCACACCCTATATCTTTAATATCATTCCCGCTAGACCTCAAGTGTGATAGATCGATGAAAACAGCTCTTCAGGGAGAATATGAAAACGGAATGATATACAGGGTGTCCCATTGAAAAAATCAAAGTTGTTGCTACTTTTCAATAAAAGCGACAACGTCGCAGCGCTGAAAATATTTCAGGTCGATAGAACACTACTAATTATCCAAAGAACTGAATTTTCAAAACAATCCTACTTTGCGTTCTCTGGAAACGTCTAATATACCATTCACCGTGCATCAGCCTGTATACAGGGTGTTGCGAAATTCAACCGACAACGCTTGACAGGTGATAGCCCTCGTGATTTCATAATCACTGAGATAGGGACATAGGGTCTCCAAGTGTTCAGTTATCGAGATACAGGGCGTTGAAGTTGAGAAATTAAAATAGTTTTTTCGCAATATCTCAAGAAAAATCGAATATAATGCATTCAAATTCGGTATATGGTTTCATCTTCCAATGATTAATTTTTTGACCAGAAAGACATTCCGACAATTTTTTCCAGAGGTGCGCTACAGAGGGTTGTGATAACTTTTCCTTCCATATTTTCTACGCCATTGATGAAATTTCGATTATTTCCAATTTCTCGAATTGATTGTTCAATTATGTTGAAAAAGTGCATCATTTTCAACGTAACTAAAATGAACAGTTATCGAGATATTTGACCCAAAATGAAAGTTTGCACAGTGATTTTTCATCTTCTTCAGCAGTAGAAGATTATGAGAATTTTTGTTTTCTCTTTATGCGTGGAATAACTATTTCTGTTCAGCTACAGAATGAGATCTGAATAGTATCTAATCTACTCAACACCAGAGGAATATTTTTGCAATTTTCTACTACTGAAAATGATGAAATATTACTATGCAATCTTCTATTTTGGGTCGAATATATCGAAAACTGTTCATTTCAGCTCAGTTGAAGGTGATGCATTATTTGGACAAAATTGAACAATGTATTCGAGGAATTGGAAATAATTGAAATTTAATCAGTGGCGTAGAAAATATGGGAGGAAAAGTTGCCACACCCCCCTGTAGGGCACCACTGGATAAAATGTCCGGAATGGCTGCCTGATCAAAAAATTACCCATTCAAAGATCCATATACCAAAGTTGAATGCATTACGAGGGCTATCACCTGTCAAGCGTTGTCGGTCGAATTTCGCAACACCCTGTATATCTTCGATCCGAGAGATAGCTTTTCTTTACTACTGGTCAATAATAAAATGTGCATACTACCGAGTTACATCACGCAAATTCAGTTACAATTCCAGTATCATAGGTATTATTTATACAATCTCGCGATGTAGGATAAAAGATAATTCCAGTTGGGCACGTGGTGCAAGATAAGAACGTCGATTTCAGGAATGGCGTTGTCGCGTGACCTCAATTATACTGAATTTCAGTGGCGCCAAGTGCAAATGCAAAGGACACACGGCTACGCAGACGATGAAAAAAAATCGCTTAGAAACACGGAAGGCTCCTCCGACATGATTATTCACTCTGGACGACTGGGGAATAGGATATCGACTGGATAGAGCTATTTTCTCTTTTAACGCCTCGCCACATAAAAACAGACGGTCGTTAAAAGTGAAACGAATGTACCTTTGTAACGAGTGGGAGGGTTTTAACGTGTTTTTTATTTTCTTTCTCGTTTTCTTATTTCGCTATAAAATGGTTGCCTATAAATAGTTCAATCTTGATTTAGTATTTTTAATAGTGACAATCATGGTCCAGTCCAATCCTGTTCCTCACCAACAACCCACCTGGAATTCATTCGCAAACTGTAACTGAAAGTCATACTGGGTTGAGCATATACATTATTCATACACGGTTTTCTCAACGGTGAGGTACTAATCAAAATACAGGGTGTTCCTTAAGTGAGTGTAGAAAATTCAGGAGCATGTTGCTGACGTCAATATAATAAGAAAAGTTTGTATAAATATATGTCCGAAAGTTATTCGTTTCTGAGATTCAGACCGTCAAAGTTGAATTCTTATTTTTGTTCTTCGTTAATAAATTTCAAAATGATTGTGATATTCGAATAAAGTTCGGTATCTAGGCGTATTTTTCAATGACAATATCAAATTTTATGTTAGATTGTCTCTTTGTGGGGGTTGTCCACATATAAATTATTCAATTCGTGAAAAGCCAAATATATTGACAAACTCTTTAATTCGAATAATAATTCTCAATTATCAAAAAAACAATCAAAAAACATCTATTGATCAAATAAAAACATATCGTCGCTAACCAAGTCAATAGCCTTGTCTCTTGATTTCAAATTTTGTTTTTCAGCATCTACTGTGTGTTCAGATCCCGACATCCTTCGTGGGGGTGGCGCCACCTATATATCTTTTGAGTCTTTTGAAAAGTCATAACTTTTTCATGCGTACCTGTATCACGTTTTATAGTAGAAAAATAGATTTCTAGAACACTTTTGTGTGAAAAATATATTCTTGGTAGAGGTCGCTGCGAGCATCTGATTTCGAGTTATTGGGATTTGAAATAATCAATGTAAGTGATTTGGAATGACAAGAAGTTGGAAATCAAAATTGATTTATCAAGCAAGGGAAATTATTTTTCTTTAATTTCATTTTAAAATAGGAATCGGGTGTTATTACTATTCAATACTAATAATAATAACAGTAATTCGGGTCGATTCTGTTTGCAAATAGCAAATAGAGAAAATATTGCTATCATAGCAAGATTCGAAAAAGTGGAATTCTAATCATCGATGTTTGGCAATATGATGTGTCAATTTCAATGACATCTGGTCAGCTTTCTTGCTATCTCGGCAACATCAATTTCGTGCTTGCTATCTTATAACAAGGTATAGTGGATTTTTTGTTTTTGCACTACAAATTCTTCCAACTGTATGAAAATTCAGAAAATAGTGGATTGAAAACATTTTAGAGTTCAGTTGTGTCACTGACTACTCGAAAACCTTTCCTCAAAGTTTAGATTCGTAGAAGAATTATTGAAAAACTTAGAATGGTGATTACAAACATATAGGATGGTTCATTACCGTGACCAACTACTTGAAAACCTTTTCTTGAAGTTCCAATTTGTAGAGGAAATATGAGACTACAATTTCGGCATATCAGAAAAATTTCAGTTGCCTGATGGATAGTTTATCAAGCTATTTTGCTAGAATATTAAAAAAAATCACGATTATTTTCATCCGGCTTTTAGTTGTTTTCTCATTCCGGGGACATGATTGATTACTTGCACCAGTCGCACAACGGCGACCAGATTCAGCAAATACAAAATCTCTCGATTTGAACAATATAATTTTATAAAATGTCAGTGCATGACTGACTAATTTGAGAGGTTAGATAATCATGAACTCTTCTTCTTCATGAAATAATGGCAAAATCGATACCTAACACTTGAACAATGAGTTGAAAACAGTGTTGTCAGCTCAAAAATTCTCAATTTTTCAACTATATTGCTATCACTTGAACTTATGACCAGTCTTGCAGTTACTCTGCAAACAGAATACAGAACTTCATAGCAAGATTGTTATATGTTATGATCATAACAATATTATTATCTTAGCAATGTTATAACAAGATCCGAACAGAATCGACCCGATTAAGAACAAATTAATACTAAAACGCAGTAAGTTGGGAGAATTGATTGAAGTAATTGTTCAAAGTGGCCACCTTGCATCATTTTGCATGCGTCTGCTCATCGTCTCATAGACCCACGTACACGTTCCATTATACCAGGTGTATTTCGTATAGCGTCACATCCAGCAATGATCCGTTGACGAAGTTGATCTTCGCTTTCTATTGGCACCGTATAAACTAAGGCCTTTAAGTGACCCAACAAAAAAAAAACAATTGGATTTAATTTAATGTAAACTATAACATAAAATTTGATATTGTCATTGAAAAATATCCGTAGATACCAAACTTTATTCGAATATCACAGTTATTTTGAAATTTATTAACAAAACACAAAATAAGAATTCAACATCGACACTCTGTATCTCAGAAACGAATAACTTTCGGACATATATTTATACGAACTTTTCTTCTTATTTTGACATCAGCAACATGCTCCTGAATTTTCTACACGCACTTAAGAACCACCCTGTATATAGACAAAATAACCCATATGGAAGTTGCAAAACAACGAAACTCAAAAACTTACCGATATAATTGGCCGAATTACGATCTTGGTATATTTACCATTTCGGGTGGTATACAGGCCTTTCTACATGTTCTTCTCTTTGTTCCTTCAAACACCCTATGTAACGACACCTCTGCACCAAATTAAAACGAAATGCTGCTGCTGTACTTTGGCTACACTCACCATGAAATACAAGCATGCCAACAAGTTCTTTATTCTAGTAGACGTGCGCCATTGTTTAACAATTCCCAGAAAAACAATTGAAAAAGTGGATCCGATGATTAACGTTAGACAAACAAAATTCTATTATGGACGGTAGTAGGGGGTAGGAGTACAGTCGTCTTCAGAGATCATGTCGCACATGGACGGTGTCAGCTCCCTTGATCACTGCTGCAATAAGGGCGCTCATTCCGTCCAACCGCGACATGTTCGCTGAAGACGATGTGATATGTGACAGACAAACTCGAAAACTAAATGAGAATGAGCATTCGCCAAAAATAATCTCAGAACGGTTCACGCTCGAGAGCAGGAACTGGTTTCGGATAGTTCTAGGACAGTCTCAGGACGATTCTAAAAAAACCCGAACGCGCAAAGAGTCTGCCCTGGAACAGTTCCACAAAACCCGAACAATAAAATCAGAACTAGACCTGGGAATTTCACCAGTTCCACCATCTCATCGCTTCCGGCGATCGTTTAACCCTCCTGAATAATTGAGAAACATCTTATCCACTCTAGCGACAGCATTCCATTCGACGGCCCTTCTTATTCTTTTTTTTTTTTTGCAGGAATTTTTGCTGGCGATCGATGTGACGTCGAGCGGCACCCCCGAAGAAAAACTCAAATGGGCCTTCCGCATGTATGACGTTGACGGAAACGGGGTCATCGATATACAGGAGATGACCAAGATCGTGCAGGTAAGATTAATTCATTTATGACTAGCAAATTTACCCGTGATGCGATATATATTGGATCTCTCATTTGATTCAGACCAAGGAAGGGTCCCTATTATCCTGATATCCATCATGGAACAGAAAAAAGAAATAAAAACGTTATTGAAGTTTGATGCGAACAGCCCTTCTGTCCCAAATAATTCTCAGAAATACATTCTGGGAATTGAAATAGATGGAATGGAACGAATAGATATCAAAAACTTGAGTAGAGTAAATTTGGTCATAATGTTGATATTTTCTCTAGTTTTTGAAAATTCCCGGTCTTTTGAACTTTGATTGATTACCTGGGTCATAATCAACTGCATTTCGAAGAAGCTGATTCTCATGAACCTCACCTTCTTCGAAAGTCTTGCTGCTTTGTTCTCTAATGATGGACACGATTGAAGGGAGTTTCAAATCCCCATGGCGATTTGATTATTCCGAACATACCAGGGAGATCCTGTCACCATTCTCGCCATTTTGTTTTGTAATGTTTGTAATCTGGTGATATGAGATTTTGCCGTGTGGCCCCTGACTACCGAGGCATACAGTCAAATTGGCCTGATAGTCATTATGTAAATATTTAATTTTTCTCTCAAACCCAATTTACTTCGTCTGTTCAGAAATGGATACAGGGCTCCAATGGCTCGTTTAGCTTTTGAAACTTGCTGTTCAATGTGCTATGGGCCCAGGGGAGCTTTCTGTCAATGCACACACCTATAAGTATTCAACTTGTGAAGACCATTTTAACTCATGACCATCCAGGATTCTTCTGGTTCTGGGAGGCCTTCGCTCCCTTTCGAGTGCAGCCCATTGTGTTTTTGCAGGATTCAATTTGAATTTCCATCTAAGGAAGTCAAGGAAGTACTTGAATTCAGCGCGCTTTGAAGGTTCATGGCTGCATGCCCGAAATTTGTCGAATATGCAGGAACTGTCGTATCATCAGCAGAAAGTGACATCTTGCACATCACTGGCTTTTGCAAACCGCTAGTAGATAAACTGTACAACATCGGAGATAAAACTGCACCCTGAGGAACACCAGCTTCAATATGGGCTTGATACCAGATCGTTGATCATCAAGTTTCACTTGAAATGTTCGATTTTTCAGAAATGAACACATCAACTGAATCAAATCGCCAGGAAAGCCCATATCGATCATTTTGTACAAAATACCATCCTGACGCACCTTATCAAATGCTTTCGATATGTCAAGGAGAGCGAGATGGGTCTTTTGTCTCTCATTTCTCAACGATATTGAGTTCTCAATGAGTATCAAGACTTGTAGTTCAGTTAAGTGGCCAGTACTGAAAACGAACTGCTCATTTGGTATCAGCTCGTTGTCGTCGATAAATTCCTGTAACCTCAGTTGCTTCGATGGAGAGCACAGGAGACTGATAGGACGATAGATCCGCGGAAGAGCATTATCCTGGCCCTGCTTCTTAATCATCACTACTTCGACATGTTTCCATCTTTGAGGGAAATATAATAGTTTCAATATAGCGTTGATGATTTTACATAAGTAAGTGATGAAATTACCAGGAATCCTTTTCAATATTTTGTTTGTAATTCCATCAGTACCTGGAGCTTCCCTGAGCTTTTGTGCTTTGATATAGCCGATTATTCCATCTATTGAGGCGGACCTTATTCTTAAATATTTAACGTCATTATTTAAATGGGCCACGATCCACAGAACTCTCCCATGACTCAGCAAAGACTTCGATGCAATGCTGTACTAGACTCCGATTATCAGGACCTTCATTCAAATTTTCCAGTGTGGTCTGCCATCTTGAGTTTCGGAAACTATCAATCTCAGTTCTCACGATATTACGAGCTTCGTTATATTCCAATTTATAAAGTGGATAGAGAGTTCTCATGGCTTGTTCAGTTTTTTCTCCATCCACTTTCTTTAAATGTTTCGTGTTGTTATTATAATATGTACAGAAAGAAATTTATTTCATTCTATTCCATTACAAATTCTCAATGTCAATTATTATTCATTCAAAATTACCCGCGTACCTATCAAGTTGAAAGTCGCACATATTGGATACCGCGCCCTCTAACGAGGAAGCGAACAATCAGGAAAAAAGCAGTTGGCAGAAACGACTCGATACGCACGCATCGTGAGTGAACCAATTTCAATGCGCATTTTTTAACGCTTATCGCTTTTATTTTGTGCAACGCCGCTATATGCAGTTACGCTTAACGCTCACACCATATATCCATATACAGTCCACCATCGAAGAGGAGTTGGAAGTTAGGAACTAATCCACCGAGAAGTCCAAAGGTGAGTGCATTTTCAACTTGCGATTTCTTTCAAAATTTAATCAAATTACGCGACATTTTTGGTCCTTCGAGCCGGATCGCTCCGCAAAAAGGTGAAATATATCTCTTTCTGTGCATTATATTTCTATCTGAATTCATATTCCATTCATTTTATCTATATACATCGTTAAAAAAGAGTTCAGCCTGCGAATAAATTCAAGGTCAGTCGATCACACTTTAACACAAAGTTTTATTTTTTGCCCCATCTGAGGACATCAAAAGTAGTCGTTTTTTTGTTGGGAATTCCGCATACCGATATACCATCTTTCAAACCAGCTGATTGGGTCAGTGCAGTGTGGTTCAGGGATCCAAGAAATCGGTGGAATTTATTTCATTATTCTCGAAATGGCAAACGCAAACAAAATTAAGCAGTCCAGAGCTCTTAGGAAAATCAACGATAATCAAGTAAATGAAATGAAACAATTTGCTGATCAGGCAAAAACCGATCAAAACATACGAGCACAATTCAAAAATTTATATCAGAATCTCGATACATGCCGCGAAGAATTTAAATCTCATCATCAAACACTCATATCCCTCATGGCCCTCACTGATGAAGACATAAATGATGATGAAATAGTAAGAAAAAATTTCGATTATAATTGCTCTTATGTTGAAACTGTTTTCCAAGAACTTTTCGAAATCAAACCCGATGTTACTGGTTTAACCAGCCCTACAGTATCTAACATATCTGCAGGTAACAGTAATGTCAAACTTCCGAAGATTGAGATTCCCAGGTTTACAGGGGATATCAAATCATTCAAACCTTTTTTGGACATGTTTGAAAATCTCATTCATAACAACGCTTCGCTCTCAAAGATAGAAAAATTCAATTATTTAGTTTGTTCTCTCCGGGGTCCACCTCTTACCCTAGTTCAAACTACGCCAATGTCTAGTTCCAATTATGATATTGCATATAAGTCGCTTTTAGATCGCTATAATAACAAACGTCTTATAGCTTTTGCTCATTTGCAGGAAATTGATAATGCTATAAGTATAAAAAACTCAAAAAATACGCAAAATATAAGACTTTTACTGGACACATTCACAGAAAATCTTGCCGCTCTTGAAAATATGAATCTCCCAGTAAAAGAATGGGATTTTTTATTATATTATCTATTCGCAAAACATTTGGATCAAGAAACTATTACACGTTTCGAATTTGAAAATCCAGTTGCAGCTGATGAATTACCTTCTTACAAAAAATTGATCACTTTTGTTCAACAAAGATGCAATGCTCTTGATGCCATCGATTTTTCACTAAATAAAAATTTGGCAACGCAACCATTGGGTTCAAAAAATACTCAAAATGCTAACCCTTCTTATTTGAAAGCAAAGCATACCACAACATATTTCGCAAATTCGTCAAAAAATACAGTGAACACGAGTAGCATGTGTTCTTTTTGTAAACAAGAACATTCACTTTACAAGTGCTCCGAATATTATAATAAATCGCCTCATGAAAGATACAATTTTGTCAAGCAAAATAAGTTATGCATAAACTGTTTAAGTTCTCAACATCCATTCAATAGGTGCAAATCAAAGTCAACTTGTTATTTTTGTCATGGAAAGCACCACTCAAGCATTCATATAAATAAAAATATAACTTCTCAAAACAATTATATTTCTTCCGATAATACGCAAGCTACTTCTCATGAAACTCAACATACACCTCCTAGCGCATCCAACATGCCAAGCATGTCTACATTTTCCGGAATGGTATCATCATCCGTGAATGTGCTACTTTCAACAGCAATAGTTGAAATTTCAGATGCATACAATAACTTTCAAAGAATTCGCGTGATATTAGACAGTGGATCGCAAACTAGTTACATTTCTGAAAAATGTATCAATAGGCTGGGATTGCCGCGTTTCAATTATTCACTCTCAATAAGAGGTCTCGGAACAATGACTGATATGACATCCAGAGGCGGAGTGACATGCAAAATAAAGCCGGTGGGAAAAACGTTTCCCCTTTTTACCATTGACGCAATTGTTTTACCAAAACTATGCTCCAATATGCCTTCTTCATCAATAAATTACTCCCAATGGGTTCATATAGATAACATTAAGCTGGCTGATGCTTTATTTTATAAGCCTGCTCCGGTTGACATGCTATTAGGGGCTGATATTTTTCCGCAAATTATTCAAGAAGGTCGTATTACAGGACATAAAAATGAGCCCGTAGCTATTAATACTATTTTTGGTTACGTTCTCATGGGCAAGTTCAACGCAAATGATATGCAAGTTGCTACAGAAAATACTTGTACATTTTTCACAACTTTGAGCAATGACTCTTTCGCGATAGATAATCTCATTAAACGCTTCTGGGAAGTGGAAGAAGTTCCAACTATCAAAGTACTTTCACCCGAAGACACATTATGTGAAAAAACGTTTGTTGAAACCTATAAAAGGGATGAATCCGGTCGTTATATTGTCACTTTACCTTTCAAAAACTCCGAACCTTTATTTGATTCAGAAGATATTCGCTCAATAGCTTTACGCCGATTCTATTCACTTGAACGTCGTTTACAAAAACAACCTACTATATTTAAACAATATTGTGATTTTTTAAATGAATACATACAAAATGATTTTATGGAGGAGGTGAAAGACGCGAAAAATGACAGTTCTACCGCAATGCAAAATATATTTTACCTACC